GAGCCCAGGAGTTTGAGGTTGCTGTGAGCTAGGATGACACCACGGCACTCTAGCCCAGGCAACACAGTGAGACTCTGTCTCAAAAAAAAAAAAAAAAGGAGTTATTGATCAACACAGTCATTCAAAAGAACTCTTTAGAGTATGTCCTGCTTGGAATAATTTACTCAGCTTATTGAACTGAAATAGTATGTTTTTATATGTATGGAGTGTTTTCCTTGTTAAAAAATTGTTCTTTATTTGGCAGGTTGACGAGATTAGAGAGATGGTTGATAATGATTTAGGTTTTCAACAGGCTCCGCTAATGTGCTATTCCAGAACTAAAACACTTCTCTTTATTTCTAATGACAAAAAAGTAGTTGGCTGCTTAATTGCAGAACATATCCAATGGGTAAGTGATTTTTTAAAGAGTGCTCTTAAGTAGTTTGATGTTTAATGAATTTTCTGTGTAATCTTGAATAATTTATCAGGATAAATTTGTCTACATTTTATGTAAGGAAGAGTGTGAATGCAAAAATTCCTGTGTGTGATTCTTACATGAGAATTAGTTTCTCAAATCAGTAAGGTAAACATTCTGTAGAGTCCAAAGTACTGTTAAAGTTTATTTAGGAAGTTTCCATGTTGGATATTAATGTAATGTCTTTCCTGGTTAGTCCCAGTAGCACTGAAATAAATCAAGGGTAGAAAAACTGGAGTGGGCAAAATATGGCCTGTTTTTATAAATAAAATTTTATTGTAATACAGCCATGCCCATTTGCTCACATACTTGTTTATGGGCTCCTTTCCTACTAGAAAGGCAGAGTTGAATAGTTGTAGCAGAGACCAGGTGAGCTGCAGTGCTGTCTGTGCCTTTATAGAAAAGCTAACACCTGGAATTGATTACTTCTTTGGATGAACCCTAGATGAGTGGTTGGCTTGTGTTTAGAAGCCAAATTGTACAAAAATAATAGAATCATAGTAAGGGATATGTTTACATTACAAGTATTATGTAGTAACTGAGAGCAACCTAAGAGAACAGAAGCTTCTGGATTCTCTAATCCTGCTCACTTTGAGGCATACCTAAGTTCTGTCTTTTTTCAGCCAAGGTCTTGCTTATGAATTCAGTATACATTGTATATGACTACTATTTATTTGGTATCTTTTAGTATATTAATAGATGCCTGCAAATGTATGCTTCATCATAAAATTTTCTAATAAAGTAAAAAGTCAAAGCAAGTCTGCATGAATTTATTTCTATATCTTAAGCTGCTTGTTTTAAAAATTCAGCCAGGCGCCCCACACTTGTAGTCCCAGCGACTGGGCCTACTGGGAAGCTGAGGCAGGAGGATCGCTTGAGCCAAAGAGTTCAAGGCTTTAGTGCACTATGTTTGTGCCTGTGAACAGCCACTGCACTCCAGCCTGGGCAATATATTGAGACCTCA